GCAGATCTTACTACATGATTAGAAAAACAATTTCCAAATTCAGCCCCCCGTTACAATCTGGTTAAAATTATTTAAATCAGTAATTGAACCAATAATGTTATATGGCAGTGAAATCTGGGGACTAGAAAGAACACAAAATTATGAAATTTGGGACAAAACACCCACAGAACTATTTAATCTTGAATTTTGCAAAGACGTCCTGCAGGTGAACAGAGGTGTCTCTAATCTGGCCTGCAGAGCAGAGCTGGGCAGGTTTCCGCTCATTCTGGACATCCAGAAAAGATGCTGTAAATTCTGGTACCACCTGACCCGGTCAGATCCAGACTCCCTTCACTATAAAGCCTTCATCAGCAACAAGACAGACCCAAATCACCCACTAAACCAGCTTGCCAGGATAAAGAAATTAGAGGCCAACCTAACAGCTCAGCACTCCACACTGAGAGAGGCTGAGGATAACAGAGCAGATCACAGCCTCTACTGGAGAAACCAGATCACTCACTAACACAAACTCACATGTTACAAAATGCTTGATCGGAAATACTCATTAGCCAATTATCTAATCAGGATCAAAGATAACAAACAAAGACAAACACTAACGAAACACAGACTGAGTGACCATAAACTGGCCATAGAAACAGGGAGGCACAGGAAAAGCAGGCTGGACAGAGAGAACAGGATCTGCACCCACTGCCCATCAGGAGAGATTGAAACTGAGAATCACTTCCTTCTTTCATGTTCAAAATATAAAACCATCAGAGACACTTTTCTGCCCAAATTTACTAATAAAACCCCCTCCTTCCCCAAACTGACCGACTCAGAGAAAATGAAAATTTTACTGGGAGAAAATGTAGAAACAGTAAGTTTAGCAGGACAGTTTATTCAGAACTGCCATAAGATCAGAGAAGAAAATGTAACATAGCACTTCAGTTATGTAATTAATATTTCTAATTCCTGATGTTCAAATTGTATTACATTTTTCATATGTACCTTGTTTGTTTTATTTATTTATTTATTTTTAATTATTATTATTATTATTATTATTATTATTATTATTATTATTTTATTGTATTTAATTTTATTACATTTGGCATGTCCATACTCATTCTATGCTTATATGTATTACCATATTTATTTATTTTTTTTTTTTCCCTATTTATTTTCTATTCATTTTTTTTCCTATTCATTTATATTTTAATAATAATTCAATTTAAGATGTATTTACAACTTTGGCAACATAGGTCTTATATCCTGTCATGCCAATAAAGCATATTTGATTTGATTTGATTTGATGTGGGAGAGAGAGAGACAGTGTGTCTATGTGGTGGAGAGAGAGACAGTGTGTGTATATGTGGGAGAGAGAGACAGTGTGTGTATATGTGGGAGAGAGAGAGACAGTGTGTGTATATGTGGGAGAGAGAGAGAGAGACAGTGTGTGTATATGTGGGAGAGACAGAGAGAGAGAGAGACAGTGTGTGTATATGTGGGAGAGAGAGAGAGAGAGACAGTGTGTGTATATGTGGGAGAGAGAGAGAGAGAGAATGTGTGTATATGCGGGAGAGACAGAGAGAGAGAAAGACAGTGTGTGTATATGTGGGAGAGACAGAGAGAGAGAGGTCACAGTCTTGTCTGTGTGAGCTCCCAGATTTTTGTGTTTTTTTCATTTTTGAAATGAGAGAAAAGTTGAAATATTTGGAAGAAACATAAGGATACATTAAAAACAAAACTAAAATAAATAAAATAAAAACAAGACAAAAAAGGACAGTATCTGTGAGACATTATAGAAGAGAGCGACTCAAAACCAAGAGAGAGGAACAAATCCAGGCAGAGCAGCTAAATGTAGGAGTGAGATCAGCACAAATTCATCTCTTCCAGCATCATTCACAAACAGCACAAGCAATTCTGTGAGGACAAAGAAAAAGATCTGTAATCTATTAACATTTCACTAATGTTTTAAGTGATTTTAACAATAAAAGCTAAAGCTAAGCTAAAGGCTAAAGCGTCAGTTGACAGTTGACATTTGAAAAGTCTCTCTAACATTCCGAGGCAGCTACATGCAAATGAGCTCTCTGAATGAGCCAATCAGAAAATGAAATTAGCCATTTCCAAACACAAGGCCATGAAATTATATGCAGGGACCTAAACGCGAGAACAGGAGACCAACCAGACTTTATCAGCACTCAAGGTGATCACTTACTATAACTGGAAATAACATTACATTCCCTTTTGACTCCCCCAGAGAAAACTGTGACAATCAATAAACACACATGGGAAGAACCTACAAGTCAATGTCGAAGACTCTTTCAAAGCCTGGGTCTGTATATTGTAAATGGACGGCTGCGTGGGGACTCCACCGGTCAGCTCACCCACAGCTCAGCTCTAGGCAGCAGTATGGTAGACTATGCCATAACAGATCTGGACCTGACTTTCCTGAGAGCCTTCACAGTCAAGCCATTAACACCTGTATCTGTCCACAGCCAAATTACTATATACCTGAGGTGTAAAGTTACAAATGAGAATTGGCAAAAATCCCAAAAATCCAGCCAAATGTACAAACTTAGACAACCTCTCAATGGGGCTTAGGACAACATCTCCACGCCATCAACAGCCAAAAAATCTAGACAATCCTTCAATCAATCCATAACCTTTCTGTCAAACATCTATTCCCAAAATAAAGAAGGAGTTGATGTGGCTGTGGAAAACCTACACAGTATTTTTGATCATGCAACCCAAATATCTAATCTGACTGTTAAGAAAAACAAATCAAAGAGCACTCAGTCAAACAAATGGTTTGATCAGGACTGCAAAAAAAGCAGAAAAGAAGGTTAAAATTAATCCAAGCAGAAACACAGGAAGCCACATAATCAGGATCTGCGCACAAAATACTGTGAGGTACTGAAAGACTATAAACATATGCTGAAAAGAAAAAAGTACAAATATATGCAAAATCAAATAAATCACTTTGAGAACTCCAATTCATTCTGGGACCATTATAAATCATAGAACATGATATATCAGTTAAAAATGGAAATATATGGAGAAATCACTTTGAACAATTATACAGAAGTCCATCAATAAATATAGAACAACAAAAATTATCTGGAAAACTAGAAATTGTTGATAAAACAATTAAGGACTATCAAAATCCACTGGACTTCCCAATCACAATACAAGAATTAGAGGAAAATCTCAGAGGCCTCCAACCCAGAAAAGCCTGTGGTACAGATGCCATCTTAAACAAAATGGTGAAAAACACAGACAGCAAATTGAAATGGGTTATTCTAAAACTTTTCAATCTTATTTTAAATGTAGGCCATTTCCCCATAGTCTGGAATGAGGGACTCATCACCCCCATATTTAAATCTGGAGATAAATTTGACGCAAACAGTAACATGGGAACGGTCTTCTGCAGCATCCTCAACACTTGAATAACACACTGTCTAAAAGAACATAATGTTCTAAGCAAAAACCAGATTGGTTTCCTACCAAATTATTGAACATCTGACCGCATTTTCACTCTTCACACATTAATGTGAAGACTTGAAAAATATGTAAACCAAAATAAAGGCAAAATCTTTGCATGTTTTGCAGACTTTCAAAAAGCTTTTGACTGTATTTGGCACAATGGATTATCCTATAAACTTGAAAGTGCTTTGGGGGGAAATCAATGTATTTTCACAGTAAATGTGCAGTGAAATGTACAGTTAGGAGTGAGACAAGGCTGCAGCCTGAGCCCCATATGTATATATATATATATATATATATATATATATATATATATATATATATATATATATAGTGGATTTTCCTAAAAACTGTTCTACAAGCACACCAAGTTCATTAAATTAATCATCATATGTCATATTCCAAAAAAGAAGACACTAATAGCAATGCATACATAGCCCAGTAAGCTGTACAACAGAAAATCCTACACATGAACATAAAATCTAAAAGAGAAGATCCAGAAAGCAATAATCAATCAAGAAATTCACACATTTCTAGACACGTTATGAACACCTCACATGTTCAACATAAAAAGGTGTGAATAGCTAGGTTTCCATGTATTTTAGTTTCTTTCCCAGGAGTTAACAATGTGACAATATTTATCTTAAATATTTATCTTATCTGAAAAATGATGTCACGTTACAACATAATATGTTTTTCTGAGCATATGGTGGATATAGTCAGTACTTCAAGTACTTAATTACAAAGAGAGCACAATTAGATGTGTTTAATTAGACTTAGTGAAGTACATGACACCAAGAAGAAAATACATTGTTTTTTTCATATTTTATGATGGTATTGCTCAAAATTCAGCACTAAAGATCTCCTTGGTCTTTTTTTTATTTGTTCCAACTTAAATATAAAAAATAAAAGAAAAATTAGAAGAAAACAGTCCCCTCACTCGCCTAGACCTAAAGCACAGTTCTACACCAATGTTCATGAACACAGACTCAGATTCAGGATCAGAACACACAAGCAATCCTGATTACAATGAAACAAATTACAAAACACAAACAAAAACATTAAACAAAATCATATCACATATGAGAATATCAATTTAAAATCACCCTCTGATCTAAAATTGAGATAAACTCTGATGAAGTGCAGTCTCTATGGCCTTGTCATACAGAATGACAGACATAAGATGTCTTGTCTGCTTAAAGAGCAAAGACTGTGTCAACATTGACGGCTAATAAGACTGAAACAGTCCTGCACTTACTGACAGAACACACAAATTTTAATCAGATTCAAACAGAATTCTTTACTAAAGTGATCACATTTCCTGTAGTTAAGAAGTTTCCCAACATGGAAAAGCTGCTCTGTTTTCTATGTGAATATAACAGTCTAGGTGACTCAGCTACATTCTAGGTGAGTGAAAGCAGTTTAGGCGAATAAGAGCAGTCATAGATATTACAGCATACATAAACTAGGATCAGGACACACACACACACACACACACACACACACAATCACACATTTCTGAACACAGTTGTTCATACCTGAGAGTGCTCAGTGTGCATTGTGGATCCTCCAGTCTAGTAGAGAGTGCCTTCACTCCTGACTCTCCTGGGTAATTGTAGGTCAGGTCCAGTTCTTTCAGGTGTGACAGGTTTGAACTCAGAGCTGAAGCCAGAGAAGAACAGCCTTTCTTTTTGATCATACAACCAGATAATCTGCAGAGAAAGGAAAAAGAAGACAGAATAGAGTGAGAATTGTTATTCACATTCATATAAAACATAACAGAAACATTCTAAACATACAATTTCATACAGTTAGGCATATATTTAAACATAATGTCTTTGGCAAGATTGGCAGATCTCAATGTAAAGAACAACATCCAGTGTTAGGATTTAATTCCCTATCCCTATGGCAATGAAGAGTGGTTTTCAACATTCACATTCTTTGGTATCTTTTTTGCACCTTATCTTTTTCATGACAAAACCATTTGATGTCCCATTTGATTAACCTTTAGAACTTTATTATACTATTATTCTCTACTGCATGCTCTGTGTTTCATTCTCAGGAACTGATTAAAACAGGCAAAAACACATAATAATATAATCTGTAGCTCTTACCCTAAATACATACTAAATATAGCACTTACTTGTGTTAAAGTATCAGCAAATAAGCCAGTTTAGATTTGGAACCTCACTGCTTATCTTGATATTATAATATATATCTTATCTTAATATGTATTTATTATTCAGGAATATAGTGAAAGAAACACTGACATGAGTATTTCCAGTTTACAGTCTCCAGTCTTCAGTCCAGCAGAGAGCAGCTCCACTCCTGAATCCTGCAGATCATTATTACTGAGGTCCAGTGCTTTCAGGGAGTTTTCCAGTTTTAAAAGTGATCCTAGCCTTTCACACGTATTCTCTCCAAGATTACACAAAGCTAGTCTGCAAACAAAGAATAAACACACAAATTTTAAAGTGTTCTCAAATGACGATATTTAATTGGAACAATACTCAGGGATGACCTTACAGCTGAAAACAAATGTCTGGGCATCCCTGGCCAAATTTATTATTATTTTTTTTTTTCTGAGTGAAAAGAAGCAAATCTCTCCAAAAAATCCCCAAAGCACACAATTTAAAAAAATACATTTTTCTGCAAACATGAATGCATAGTTGCTTTATATTTGATGTGGCATGTTCAAACATTTGGACGACCTATTAAGACACCACCTTGTAACAGCCCTTTTGTAGATATCAAAGCTTGCAAATGCTGTCTTTCTTATCTTGTTTCAGAAATTTTCAGCCACACTTCCTTGCAGTACATTTCTAGTTCTTGAAGGACAAAACAACAGAACTATGACAATGAACGTAAAAATCCCAGTCAGTACAACTGGCTTGATAGTATGGAAACAAAAAATTCATGTAACCACAACTTATCATCTCCAGTCAAGTGCATCTCACAAGATTTCTCAATGCACTTAGACCAATAATAAGAAAGGAAAAAGAAGCTAGCAGTTACTGTTTCAGGACAACTTGAAAGCAGCTGGAACATTTACCCAGAGAACAATAAACAATGAACAATGCACTTGCTACCCTTGGAAGTGTGAGACAGTAAGAAACAAGTGCGAATTGTAGTATCTTCCTTCTGAAAAAAATAAAGGAATTGCTCCTCAGTCAACATTATGTCACTTGTCATGCACAGCTGTAACAAAACAAATGATTTAACTAATGTTAGCTTTTTATCAATCTATGTTTCCTCCAAAACCACACCATTATGATCCACTCAGGCAAAGAGAATAGCAAATAAAATGTTATATTATGTTGTCTATGAAAGCAAATGTGTTAACTCTACAGTTTAGTTCTTCTGAAAGGTCAGCTTCCATCATTCATCCAAAACCTGCCGCTATAACATAAAGTGACTAAAAGTCTTCTGTTTTTTTATTTCATTATTTTTTCATAGATCTTATCTCTGAATAACCGAGAATTAAACAAGGTTAATTTACTTTTGTGTGTGATAATTTTTTTTTTCTAATGCTAATGTTCTACAGTGTACTACAAATATTACTGTGCTACTGAAATTCTTAGTCTGGTAGGTCATAGATGCTACCACCTGACTCCATGGCCTGTGCTGAGCTGTTCTGACAGACCAGTAACTAAAGCAGGCAAATGGTTTGCAAATGATCAATTTATTACTGTATTTTTTCAGTTATCTAGCTGTACATTTGAGTTTTTTTGTTTATTTTACTCCCGTTGTTGAACAACAGCTGGGCATGCCTGGTCTTCTTCTATTGTAATGTACATGATTTTTTCTGTGTGCTGAATGTGATCTGCTTAGAAATGAAGGTTCTAAAATATGACATTATCTTTAAAATAAAGTTGCTGATGTAAATGTGGGGCAGTTTTCTGATTTTAAAGCTGATTCCAGAAGTCTTCCCCTTAGATTACACAAAGCTAGTCTGCAGAGAGAGAACAAATACACATGATATAAATGACACATTTGTAGTTTTAAAGATCCATGTATTTCTCCATAATTCATCAGCATCAATTTACCCTGTGTTCAGAACAACCACTGAGCAGGTGTTATTAGGATATTGGATCATCAAACAGATGGAATATACACTAATTATAGAACTACAAAGTTAATTGGATATGTGAAGAAATAATAGTAAAAATATTTGCTTCTAATTAGCTAATTAGTGAAAACAGAGGCCAATTTCTGTAGTTATTTTTGGTAGTTATTTATCAAGTCTCCAGAACCACAATTAGACACCAGCTCCCTGCTAACAGAATATCTGGAATGCATATGTGGAAGGAGTGGCAGAACAAAACATTTCTTTCATTTTTCCACAAATGTTATTCATGTTTCCACAAATGTTAGCACCTGGAGTTCAATGCACACTACTGGAACTTGGTTCTGTGGTTAGATGAGACAAAAAAAGTTTTTTTGTCAACAAACACTGAAAGTGGGCATGAACAAAATAAAGCTTTTACAGAAAGGAACCCCATCCCCAGTATTATGTATGGAGGAAAGTCTATGTTGTTTTGGGACATTTGTTAGGATAGATACATGGCATTATGGACTCGAAGGAGTACCAGGAGATTTTAAATGAAAATCTGTCAGTTTCCTCTAAAAAGCTAAAACTTTGTCATGGTTGGATCTTCCAGCTGGACAATGATCCAAAACACACATCCATATCCACACATGAATAGTTCAATGACCACATAATCAAGCTTTTGTCATGGCCATCATGGTCCCCTGACCTAAATTCCCTTAAAAATTCTTTGGTGAGCTGAAGAGAAGAGTCTAAAGGAAAGGACTTGATAACCTGGAGGGTCTGGAGACATTCAGTATTGAGAAGTAGACACTTTGCTCCATATTCTCTGTTCTCATCATTATAGGTTATGAGCAATTTTTTATATTAGCAATTTTTATGAAATATAGGAATACTGACCTTAGTATTTGCAGTTTGCAGTTTGAACTCTTCAATCCAACAGTGAGGTTCTCCACTCCTGAATCATACAGGTCATTGTTACTGAGGTCTAGTTCTTTGAGGCAGTAGGCTTGTGTTTGTAAAACTGAGTGCAGTGTATTACAGGACTGTGCGCCGAGTTTACACACAACAAGTCTGCAAAAGAAGAATACAAGCAACATATAGTACATTAAATAAAAATTCTTACATATTGATTGCATATTTCCATAATGCTGGTGTAGAATTGCAAAATGCCATGAAGTTTTGGAATTTGGACCTGAGTATCTCCAGTTTACAGTGTGAACTCTTCAGTCCAGCAGAGAGATTCTCCACTCCTGCATCCTGCAGGTTATTATTGCTGAGGTCTAGTTCTTTCATGCGGGAGGTTTCTGTTTGTAAAACTAACTGTAGAGTGTTACAGGATTGTGCGCTGAGTTTACACGCAGCAAGTCTATAAAAGAAGATTAAAAATAATTATAAATTGGTTGCATATTTCCACAGTGCTGGTATAGGATTACAAAATGTTATGAAATTTTGGAATTTTGACCTGAGTATCTCCAGTTTACAGTGTGAACTTTTCAATCCAGCAGAGAGATTCTCCACTCCTGAATCCTGCACGTCATTATTACTGAGGTCTATGTCTTTCAGGCAGGAGGTTTCTGTTTGTAAAACTGACTGCAGTGTGTTACAGGACTGTGCGCTGAGTTTACACACAGCAAGTCTGGAAAAGAAGAGTAAATGCAGCATACAGTACATTGAATAAGAATACATATGTATTGGTTGCATATTGCCACAGTGCTGGTACAGAATTGCAAAATGTTATGAAATTTTGGAATTCTGACCTGAGTATCTCCAATTTACAGTGTGAACTCTTGAGTCCAGCAGAGAGCTTTTCCACTCCTGCATCCTGCAGGTCATTTTTACTGAGGTCCAGCTCTTTTACAGAGGAATTTTCTGTTTGTAGAGCTGTACTCAAAATTTCAAGGGACAGTTCAGTGAGGTTACAGCCAGTAAATCTACAGGTAAAGAAGAAAGTCAGTAAAATATATAAAGATTCTCAGTGTTTGCACTTGAAATTATCTGAAAAAAAAGTTACAATTTCGAGCTTTTTCAAGCACTTTATCCAAAATTCCAGCACTTTTCAAACCTGGAAAATACAACATTAAAATACAAGCAATTTCAAGGATTTCAAGCACCTGTATGAACCCTCTTCTCTTTAGCTCAAATGATGAGGCATCCATGATTTTAATAAGAATTTCAAATTATGATTCTTTAGAACATGGGACATTTTTCCACTTCAACTCAGCCCATCTTAAATAAGCTTGAGCCCAGAGAAGCTGGGATTTCTGGATCCTGATTTCTTCTTTGCATGGTAGAATTTTAATTTACATTGAATGGATTGACAAACTTTGTTTACAATGGCTTTTGGAAACTTTCTTGAGCCCACTTGATTCCCACTACAAAATCATGTCTGTTTTTAATGCAGTGCCACCTGAGGGCCCGATGACCACTGTGACACAATATTGGCTTTCAGCTTTGTTCCTTGCATACTGAGATTTCACTGGATTCTCTGAATCTTTTAATGATATTATGTACTGTAGATGATGAAAAATTGTTTGCCATTTTACATTGAGAAATGTTATTCTTGCACTGTTGCACTATTTGCCCACACAGTCATTCACAGAGTGGTGAACCCCTCCCATCTTTACTTCTGAAAGACTCAGTCTCACTGGGATGCTCTTTTCATACCCAATCATGTTACAGAGCTGTTGCTGTTGTCAATTAACTGTGTTTTTTTTTAACCAGTCTTTTGTTGCCCCTGTCCCAACTTGTTTGAAATATGTGGCTGATATCAAATTCAAAATAGGCATATATTTTTCAAAAAACAATAAAATTTCTCAATTTCAATATTTGATATGTTACCTTTATACTATTGTCAATCTAATATAGGGTTTAAATGATTTGCACATCATTGCAATTAGTTTTTATTCACATTTTACCTAGTGTCCCAACTTTTGGAAATGAGATTGTAAAAAATACAACTACAGATGTGTATAGTAAGAAATCCTCAAAAAATTAAAAAAATGCATTTATTTATTTTGATATTGAACATTATACTGTCAAATAATCTTTTCAGAGGTGCACATACTGCTGTCATGATGTACTGGACTTGCAGTGATTTTCATACTTTTACTAAACTCAGTGTGTTATAAAAACAAACTTTACACCAAGTTACCACCACTATCCTGCAGCATTGGGGATGATGAATGCATTAATTCACAGAGTTTTGTTGGTTTAGGCAATGGAGAATTTTCTTTATTACCTAAACCTCAGGTATGCACATCGAAATGCAACCTAAAATTCCTATAAGAAAAAAATCTTATCAAATTGACACAGTATTAATCAAACAGGCTATATTCTCTTACAGTCAGTAGAATTAAATTGGTAAATGGGTTCTTTTTTAACCATTTTTTTATTCAACACAAAACAAACAAAAAAAAATTCAAACACAAAAACAGTGTGGAAGGTCATTTAGCAAAGCAGGTGAGGCAGTGTATACTGCATATAATCTGGATGAAGAACTCTCAGGTATGCAAACAGAAATATGTTCCTACCATACACATGTATATGTGCAACGTATGCAATGTTTTTATGTAATCTCTCATGCTTTTATGCAACATAAAAATGCAACATAAAAGAAACAATACTTTGACAAGACTTTTTCATTAACCTTTTTTTAGACCCCCTAGACTTTTAACAATTTGCCCATAAATTACACCACAGTATTAATATTAACTTAATAATGGTTATATTAAACACTCACTGAGCCTTTCTGCAGTTTGTGATAGCTGGTATGAGTCTTCTATAACCCTCCTCTGATGTGTTGAATTTCTTCAGATCCAATTCTTCCTTCATATTCTCTGACTGGACACGCATGTAGGCTATGAATGAACATTGTGCAGGAGAAAGCTTCTTTTTTGAAAATTTATCTAAAATTAGAGAGATACAATGGAAATCTTTCAGAAACCACCATCATCCAGTGATTGTAACTGATTGAACAAATGACAGATCCTGAAGTGAACAATGTTAGAATGTTAGTCATTTTGTAGGAAGATTTCAAGAATATTACTTAGCTTTGTGGTTCTAATGTATTTGTCAGTACTTTGGGCCCCGTGACCAAAAGTATTACTACACACTTCTATAACCTAAGAATAGCTCTTTTAGTCTGCAATGAAGTCCCTCTAGTTACTGAATAATAAGCCTTTTTATGTTATAAGCCTGAAATATTAAGGAATTAATGACAGATCAACAATATAAAAAAGTATGTGAAATTACCTACAAGTATGTGAATTACCTACAAATTACAGCCATTGGAGCTTGCTGTACATCCAATTCAAAAAATATAGATAAGAATATACAGTTATAATAGTATAGCTCTATAGAATATGGTAGTAATATAGAGTCCCCCTTTGTGGCTATAACAGCCTTCACTCTTCTGGGAAGGCTTTCCACAAGATTTTCGAGTGTGTCTATGAGAATTTCTGCACATACTACATAATATATACTGCTATTTATTACAGCGGCAGAACTACAGCCCTGATTCTCTGGTTCTAGATCTTCCTCCCTTTTGGCATGTTTTAGTGTCATGAAGGTGTGCTTAGGGGAAAAACAATTCTTTTGTTTCAATAGGTGATATACAAACCTCCTTCTGCTCCTTCTTCTACAATTGATGAATTAACTGATCTTTTATTTCCTTACATATATGCTTCAGAAATGCTGATACTTAGTGATTGTACTCTGTGTAGTGAACTTGGCTATTTTTAATTCTTAAACTGATCAGGACATTTGGACAAAGTTTAACCTTTGATTTAAGATACAAAGAACAATCCCCCAGGCAACAGGAAGGCTGGAGAAAATCTGACTAATCAAGTTAATGGCCCCTAGAGTGCTCTTAGCATCTACCGATTATTTCTGAACACCCTCCTCATCTGGTCTCAAAACAGAGATAAGGCCACAACCAATCACCCTGAGCTTGAAATGTTAATGGATCACCTCATAAAATCCATTGTCCAACACTGTAAGGAGGACAAAAGTAAATTCTGAATACAAACTGAGTTTATGACTTATGGAAATTCCTTTCCCTGCACCCCATCTCCATACAAGTGAAGGCATCTAACTCAAGGAACAGACTCCGACAAGATAATCATTGCAACCTAATGCACCCCTCTAACTAAACCCTTGTAGGCAAACACTCAAAGTGCATTCCTCAGTAGACATTATTTGGGCCCTTGCAAGACTGTCTCTAAATCTCTTTTTAAATCAAACTGTGAAAAATACCTGTGTTAATATTAATGTGTAACTCAAAACATGGGGTGTGTCTCAAAACCTAGTGAGCTCTCTACATAGACAGCATTTTAAGTCACAATATGCACGTTCCCGACAAGAAGGCTGTCCTAATTCTTAGATATCTCAAATATGCTGCCTACTAAGGTATCTCATTTTGGCCGAATATCGAGAGAGCATCAGTTTCCTCAGCTGCTGAGGCAATCCCATGATGCAACGCAGTGCAACTTTTGTTTGAAGATGGCAGGCAGAAGCGCTTTGCCAAGCAGCGAAGTCATCATCAACTGTACGTTATTCTGATTTTTTGTGGTATTTTATCTGTTTTCTAGTCATGAAGGTGCACAAATAGCCTATAGTTTGTAATTTAGGTGCATCAATGACCATTTTACAGTTTTCAAAACACCAGTCCATTAGCATGCATGCTAGCAGATTTTGAAGCTTTAGGCATGTTTTGAATAGCCAGTTGGCTAACAAACTTGCTGGCTAACGACCAAGTAGCTTAACTAGTGATAGGTATTGTCAAACATTAACTAATGACGAGGCAGCGTGATCTAATCGTTGATCCGGTTGTTCATGTATTGAGTGATTTGGCGGAATAATGAGGGTTAAATGGTGCTTTTCTGGAAATTGCTAACGGTCGGATGGCTAGCTATTTTAGTTGTCTGTGTTTGCATATACAAGTTGTTTTCCCTTTTTCAGGGACCAGATCAGCGCAGGGACCAGATCAGCACTCGAAACATTCATAAAGGCTCGTATAGAGAGAGAAGCTGTGTACCGGGGGAAAAAAAACTCTGTTTTGTCAGCTAGGAAATAAGAATGTTACGGTGTTGGTTCACCAGTTAGATCAGGGGTTTTCAAATTTTATTCACAATGGCTGTAGCTGCAGGTTTTCATTGGAAACAAGCAGGAGCTCCCCTGATTTCTCTTAATCAGGAAAACAATTAATCTTGAAAACCTGCAGCCATACTCTGTAGATAGGACCAGACACCAATGAGTTAGTCATGCATGCTTAGTTACAGTACACAATGTAACATTAGCTAATCATAACTTAAAACAAAGTAGAAGTAATTTGCTTGTGTGGTTGAGCACTTTCCTATTCTGGTTAGAATTTTAGTTGAATGATGCTGGGTCTTTTAATCTGTTTACCTATTCTCTAAAAAAAGGAAAAAACCCTATTTTGATTTTGTTTGCTTGTTAATAGGACTATCCTTTGGAACTGGGGCTACAGAAAAAAGTGGGACAACCTAAAAAAGAAATAAGGTAAGTTCCAAGACAGAGGTGAAGATTAATAATAGATTAGTACTGCATTTACAGAATCAATATTTTATCTCTTTTAAACCTTAGAGTGCATTTTAAACATAATTTAAATATTTAAAAATGATTGAGTATAATTCAGCTAAACAAAAGAAAGCAAACTGAGGTTAGATAACATGTTTGCCTTTATTTTAGGAACTGAAGTTTCCACCATCCAGGAGTGGGACTGACAAACCATCACCAAGGATCATTCCCAAATAACACCTGCTCTGTGGGGCTCCTGACTATTGAAGAACAGGGTAACAAAGTATGTAGAGAAACAGATGGACTACAGTCTGTAACTGTAGAACTACAGAGTGAAACTGTATGGTCAGTGGAGCGGATAAAATGGACAATGAATGAAGATAGAAAGAGGTGGACTAAATGAAGTGGCTGGTTCATATGTATGTATATGAACATTTATGTAATTTCATTGTAAATTAATTACTTAAATGATTACTGTATTATTGTATATAGCTGTAGAAATTGATTGCTAGTGAATGACTGTATATTTATTTGTTAAATTGTGTGGTTGTGTGTATCATTGTTCTGTTTGGATCTGCAGTTGTGTGTGGTTTGTGTAGATTTTAATTTCATGTATGTATTAATGTGTATGTCTTATTAAAATATTCAAAACAAATACAACCATATCAAACTGGCATTTAGGAGATTAATGAACATTGTATGATGTGGAGAAAGGGTTTACAGTTGATCCCCCCAGAGCTTAGAGAAAAATTTACATTTTGTAAATTTTAAATTGCAAGTAGGGCTCAAATTCTTTAATTTCAGCGTTTGACCACAACTGTTGTCTATTTTGCTGTTTCATTTAGAGCAAATACAATTTACATTGCTACATAAACTGTCAGAGCAGATCCATGTTGGCAGAATGTGATTCTGACGGCTGAGGTAAGTAAACGCCGGTCTCGTGCAGTGGGCGGGAATGTCTTATAAGGATAGATGACGGTTGAAACGCTGCCTACTTAGACAGCTGCCTATGTAGAAAGCAGCTACTTAGAGAGCTCACTAGGTTTTGGGACACACCCATGGCTTCCCATGCAGCATTGTCAGATGTGAATTAATACTAAGATTCCCTACAATTGATATTTTTTATACAAAAGCTATTTTATGATTCTTGAAGTAACTAATTAAGATTATTATTGAACTGATCTTTGATCATTTATAACTGTTTCATTGTTTTCTAGAAATATTTTGATGTTAATAAATCCACATGTTCCCTTGAATCATGTCTTAACATCATTTATCTTTTCCTTTGAGTCACCATGTTGTTTTTTTCCTTTAGAAGTAGAAATGTGTAAGTAAAGTTTGTAACTTGTGTGACTATGTATACTTCAAGCATAACAGAGGTTCTGCCATAATAATCCACAGGAAAATTAAAAGTAATACTCAGGATTTTATTTTACTCTACACTATGTAACTTTTTTTTCATTTAAACATTGTTTAGAAATGTTAGAATTTAAGAACCAGTGTTGACTGCAAGCCAACCCAGGAGTCTGCTTCAGCAGTTTGGTGTAAGACTGTGGACTCACTTTACCAGCCAGCCATTGCAAGCCAACTGAAGAGTCTGCCTTCCTCATCAGAGGCCAACACAAGCCAGAAGGTAGCCTGCCTCGCCCATCCAGTTCTGGTTAGTTGCAACGCTCTCTGAGTTAACCTCTCCAACTGCCTCGTCCTGACCCCCAGGACCCTTCTCCACCCATGCACACAACCCATACTCAACTTCAAAGCTCTAAGGCTTGCACCCTCACTTCTCCAGCTACATCATTCATTCTTGGCTGTGTTACTCTTAAACTCTGAGCCTCAGCCAATTACACTATGTTAATCAGGTGAATCTCATGCCTCTAGTTTCTCTGTGCATACCTGTTAATCTTTTACATTTATTAATCTACCACTTAGTGCTTATATACCTTTATCAATAAATGAGCCTTTATTAAAGTTATCACTCATTTATTTGTGTGTATGATTACAACAGCCCGATCAATTGATCACTGTCCACATGAAAACCCTAACCTGAGATTAACCTAACGGTAGGTTGTGTTTATGGTGTAAGTGGGGAAAAAAGTACAGTAAGTGACCTTCTCCCACTACATCTGAATTAGTGGACTAATGCATCTGATCACTTAACGGAAATTTGTGGCAACTTCACCCTCACACAACTTATTAGATCCTGCTTATTACTTGTTAAAGGATCCTACCAAGTCGACTTAATTTTATCTACTAGAATGGACACAATTATTGCCTCAGGTCTTGGTTTCAGTAAACACTGGCCTATTTAATGCGTAAGAAACAGTTACATAAAAAGGTCAATGTCCTGGGTGATGGCAAGAAGAATTTTTTTTGAACAATGTAGTGGACACCATCTGGACTCAAAACCTCCAACTCAAGAGTTAAGAGCCCTGGCTCCTCAAAGTCTGGGTCAGGGCCATAAACTGCCTTAGGAACACACAAATTTTAAGGTTTACAGCTTGTGTCAAGAACAAGGCCTGACCTCTGTGGCTTATCTTTATGCACTAACAATGCATCAATAAAACACTCTGCCTGGAGTCTATCTGGATAGCTTGACCAAAAACTCTCTAAGCAACAGAAAATCAAATTTCTAAAGTGTATATCAACTCTAAATTGCAATCATTCATCCGGGTTTGTTCTAAGGATTTTGGAGGTATCAAGAATGAGATAGATTCTAGGAACAATCATGACATTAGCCATTTCTGGATTTTATTGATATTTCACACACAAGCCCCACTATAGCACCACCCAGTGATTAGAATGAGATACACCACACAGTCACAAAACCATTTCTCCATTGAATGAGTGGATTCTGGTTATATTCTCTCTGATATTTGAAGCTTCACATTGTAAGCGATATTACCTGTATGTTACTTAGTTGGTTCCGTAAAATAAGTATCTTTTACATGTTTTGTTTTAGATGTTGGGAATATGCATTCGCCACCATTTTTCAAAGTACTGTTGCAACGCCCTACTACTTTTTGAGTTCAGGACGTGCACATAAAAACCTCCACTTTCCCTAAACTGCATGAAGCACTGACAAGCACAAACAGACAGCAAAACTGAGAGGCAGAGCCAATCAGAACCTCCATGTCAGCTGAGAGGTGTTTTCAGACCTGCCTTGGTTGGTGCAGACTGTTGAACTTTATCTTTAGGTCGCTTTTGACATGCGACTCCACCCGAATTCATGAGTAATTTAGTCCACTATAGCCCTTGCACTCCACTATCCAAACCAAAGGAAAAAGATAAAACATCACAAAATCAAAATGTGGTGCGTCTTTAGAAAATGAACTGGGTATGAAAACAGCCAAATGTTCTTTAGAGATGTTGGCTAACAAATACTGCTATCTGAGGCTGCAGCTACTGAAGCAGCATCAAAACAAACTCTCTGTTTGTGATCGCAGTGTCTGGAGACTTCAATCATGTCTGCCCACTTTCAGCCAGTTTGTGGACTGCAAGACGAGAGAGAACAAGACTCTGGACCTGCTGTATGCCAATGTCAAGGAAGCATATAAATCCACTGATGCTAGCTCATCTGAGATGTCTGGTCAAAACAGCTCTTGACCCTCTGCAGTTTGCATACCAGGATGGCATTGGAGTGGATGATGCAGTTATCTACCTGCTGGACAGAACATACTCTCACCTGGACACATCAGGCAGCACTGTGAGGATCATGTTCTTTGAATTCTCCAGTGCATTCAACACCATACAGCCTGTGCTGTTAGGGGAGAAACTACAGCTGATGCAGGTGGATGAATCCATAATCTCATGGACAACGGACTATCTGACTGGACAATCTCAGTATGTGCGACTGCAGGGCTGTGTCTCAGACAAGGCTATGTGCAGTGTTGAGCACCTCAGGGTACTGTGTTAGCTCCATTCCTGTTCAACCTGTACACCTCTGACTTCAGGTACAACACAGAGTCGTGTCATCTGCAAAAATTCTCGGATGACACAGCCATTGTGGGGTGCACAAGGAATAGACAGGAGGAGGAATACAGGAAGCTGGTGAAGGACTTTGTTGACTGGTGTAAGCTGAACCAGCTGCAGCTAAACATCAGTAAGACTAAGTAGATGGTGCTGGACTTTAGGAAATCCAAACCTGCCTTGTCACCAGTCATTACTGATGCTGTTGATGTGGAGGTGGTTGGGACATACAAATATCTGGGTGTGCACTTAGACAACAAGCTGAACTGGAGCTGTAACACTCTCATGGTGTACAAGAGAGGCCAAAGCCATCTCTACTTCCTGAGAAGCTGAGGTCTTTTGGTGTGTGCACTAAGCTTCTATGGACATTCTACCAGTCTGCTGTAGCGAGTGCTCTATTCTATGCTGTTGTTTGCTGGGGCAGCAGCATTAACAAAAGTGCTCTGAACAAAATTAACAAACTTATCAGGAAGGCTTGCTCTGTTGTAGGAGTCAAGCTGGACTCTTTGGAGGTTGTGGCAGAACAGAGGATGCTTAACAAGCTGTTAGCCATCTTGGACAACACCTGACACCCCCTGCATGCTACACTGGATAAACGGAGAAGCACATTCAGTGGCCATCTGTTACAGCTGCGCTGTATTAAAGAGCGACGTGTGAGATCTTTCTTACCAACTGCTAAAAGGGTCTACAACAATTCTCCTTACTGCAGAGATGGTACTGATCTCCTGCTGTCTGAACTGTGCTGAACCACATCACTGTATCTCCTCTTTGATTAATACACACTGTGCAATACATCACAACAATTACTGTAATGACATGTGATGACATGTAATGAATGATCTATCTATCTATCTATCTATCTATCTATCTATCTATCTATCTATCTACATCTCCATAGAGGGTTTAAGTCCCTCTCATTGACTCCAAAGTAAGGCAATGTTCACTTTTTAAGATTTTTTTTATAGGTTAAAACCCTCTTCTCCTAGACATACCCACAGGCATATGTCCATACTCAGGCTAACTCACTGTAGGTCTCTAACTTTTGCGCCTAAGCTTCAAATTGCCTTCCCAAAAGTGCCTTAAGCCATAGTATCTTATACCATTTTATTTGTGTATTCCATTCTCTGAATCAGATGTTTTTCTTTATCGCCACAATCATCAAAAGTAATTTGAATATTGTTTGATATTTAGTCAATTCCCTTTTGACTGAAGCCTCCTTGGTCTGAGCGTGTTTCCTCCCTTATTATGGTTGGTGGATTTTGGTAAAGTTGGGTTACTCTAACTTCTTATTTGAGGTTCAAGCAAGAATAACATCAACAAACTGCTTGTTCCGCTACAACAAGCTTTCCTTCATTACTCAGCCTTGAGTAAAGTTCAATGTACATACAAAATTCTAGATATTGATTTAGAACCAGACCATTTTAGTAAAACTTAGCAGTGGTAAATAACATGCTCCCTACAAAAAAGTAAATTATGAGAATTCCCAGGCTCACTACTGAAATTTTCATTGTTTAAAGCAAGAAATAAAGCATGGGTGATTGCCAGTGGGCATAGAGACTATCAGCTATCATTTAAGCAGTTGAGGAAGAAATGTACTTCTGCCATTAAAAGAGCCAAGTCAGATTATCGTCTTTGTCTAATCAATAGTTTTTCTTCCTCTAATACTCAAAAATTTTGGAATGCCATAAACTCTCTCAAAAACTTCTTCCCTGTTCCGACCCATATTGTACTAGCTGACAATGTATTATCTGAAAAACAGCTCTGTCAATCTTTTCATGCAGCCGGTCATATACTTAATACTTCTTTCTATACATAGTGGCTAACGTCCTTACACACAGGAGAGGATAAACTGGACCCCTTTCCTCCATCTTGCCACCACATTTGTTTTAAATGATCTTTTTACAGCCATAGACAGAAAGAGGCACTGTGCTGCCCTTTTTATTGATCTGACCAAAGCTTTTGATACCGTTGATTGCTCGCTTACTTTTAAGTTGGTTTCAATAAACATGCAACAGACTGGGCCCAAAGCTACCTCTCAGATAAGCAAAACTGTGTTGCACTGGGTAACTTCAAATCAGATTCAGTGCCTGTCACAAAGGAGTCCTGCAAATTTCAATCCTTGGTCCAGTCTTATTTGATTTATATATTATTAACCTTGCTGTCTCTGCACCAATGCAGATGTCAGCTGACTCTGTTCATGCAGCAGTAGAAAAACTTCAGTGCCTCCTTCAATGCCTTACAAATTGTTCTATATAAGTATAAGCTAGTTTAAATACCAAGAAAATTACATTCATGCTGTTTTCCACAATCCCTAAAATTGATTTTAACACTGTGAATATCAACACCCTAACAAGATCTAGTATTGGGAGAGTCACCAAATATAAATACCTTGGCATATGGCTGGACAATAAACTCACATTAATAAGCTAGTCAGTAAATATAGGCAAATGCTTGGATACTTGTACAAAAATAAGATGAGTTTGCCAAAGCATACTAGAAAAAAAGATTTTGTAGACAACTTTACTATCGATCCTAGACTACCATGATGTAATCTATAGCCATGCATCTACCAGTAGCCCTAAACAATTAGATTCAATACATCACTCTGCTCTGAGATTCTTTACTGGAGACCTTTACAGCACTCATCACTGCAGCCTGCATGAAAAAGTTCACCCTCTGCCATGCAGCCAGAAAATCACTGGTTTGTTTTTATTTATAGGGAACTGTCCAGTCATATGCCATCTTATGTAATATCTATGCTATCTGTACATAATGGTATCTCTTAGACTCACTCTAGTGACTGGATCACCTGCCAGATTACTAGAGTTTTTATTGGATTGGTAAAATCTGTTTTTAGCCACAGTGCACCAGTGAACTGGAATACATTACAGGAAACTCAAAGCTCTGCTCGCTGATGTTACTCAACCATTTAAAATTTTCAACCACTTCAACTCAGTCTGCAACTCTTTCATTTGATCTTAATTCTTTCACTGTTTTATTTCATTTTACTATTTTACCAAATAATTTATTTGTGAAGATTTTTAGTTTTTTCTTTTTGTCCGTTAGCTGTTTTTTATTTACTTTTTATTATTACAGATTAAGCACAGATGCATTCCATCACACTTAACTAGTGAGTTTAATAAATATTTTGTGAAGAGCAGAGGTAGCCAAACACCAAGGTTAGAAAACACTACTCTATAGCACCAGTTCAAAGATTACTGCCCTACAGCGATGTCTAAAATCAGATTCTTTTAGTAAAATACATTTCTCTAGAAGTGCCATTACACTTTATTTAATTATAATGTAGGTATGTCTAGTAAGACACTGTAGACAGCAATATCAGTTTAAATATAAAGACTGATCAGTTCATGCATGAAGCTTTTGAGTGTCAACTTGCACTCAGATTTTAACCTTACTAACATGAGGTTTCTGACAAACCTGGTTGATCAAAGTGCTTTGTAAACTGACTCTGAAGAAAATATAAAATGAATAAAAGTTAAATCTTTTGAAAATGAAATTCTTATGCATAACAACACTTCATTCTATATAGCAAGTAATGAAATGGTAAGTTAGACTGAAATTTAGGGATGCACCAATATGAAACATATAGGTTAATGAAAACCAATTTAATTTCATCTGTGACATTTAATAGGTCAACAGATATTATTATTGCAACATTTATTTATTTATTTACAACTATGTTTTTATGCAGTATCCCCATAATTCTATCACACAGTTATTTTTAAGCTGCACCATTCAAAATGGCTTTTTGTCCATTTATGTTATCAAATGTTATTAATCCTATTTTCTGTGAAAAAGGACAAATATAACTTAACATATCTAATAAGTGCAGTGCTATGACTAGTTCAAATCTGAATACATTTACCTTAAAGTATTTGACTAACATGCATAATATGTGTGTTTCTGTTATTGACCCTTTGACAGAATAATTCATAAAACAGCCCCCAGATGCACATATGTAAGAAGATGGGGTGCGACACATCCAGTGATGTGGCCACAGTCTGTGTTATACAAACTCGATTTCTGTCACTGGAGTTGAATTACATCATTGTAGAATGCTTTGGTGGGAAATTACTTACTAAGACTGCCATCTCATAATTACAGAACTTTCAGTTTCTTTTTTGTCTTGAGCTTGGTGATGGTTCCATGATTTCACTGCCTCTTTTAAACCCTGCATGGTTCTTGGCCAGGGCTGCGCGCAGTTTATGTGATAAACTGCAGTCTTAGTTAATCGAATGATAATTGCAGGTGCATTGTGGGTGCAAATTATGGTTGCATTAAGGCAAATCCTGCACTGCCCTTGCATTCATAGGTGGCTCTCTGTATTTTACTGTGGACTGTCCATGTAAATGGTTTTGTAATGGTTGTGGTTCATCATAGAATACAGTCTACACACATATAATGTAATCTAAACATTGTCCAGTATAGTGTGCTTTATAACATACTACAATCAGGACCACTAAAAAACATTTTTTTTCTGTTCTTAAAATTGTGTATATATATACAGAGAATATATTGTTTCTTTGTAGGTTAAACTCACAAAAAACTCATATGCTGTTGTGTTAGTCCTGTTGTGCATGAATGCTTCTGACCACAGAGGCACCTAGCAGCGAACTTCATCATTTAATCAAAAAGGTTGATCAATCTTCCTTAATCTTGAAGTAAGTAAGCCAGAAAGAACCAAAGTGGCTGCACTGTTGGGAACTACAACCGGTTATGTATTTTACATCGTACACATGCATCTCAAAACTTAAAAAAAAAATGGTTAATGATTTAAATGACTGAATGGAATAAAATAAAAAGTGTGTGGACTATATTGTTGTAATGAAATAGGATGAATAAAATGTTACATCAGCACAATCAGTTTCTCAGTTCATCTGTTTTGGTAATTATGTTGATGTAATACATTTTATGAATTTGGAACCACTTGACCTATTAAATATTATTTCAATTTGAGTAAGTAAAGCACCATTTTTCATTGTACTACTGAAATGTAACTTTGCCAGTTCTGGCAACCTCCTGATGCTCTAAAACAAGTACTAAAATGTGATTTTAGAAAATCAACAAGTTAAAGAGTGAACGCGGTCCATATTAACACACAAGAGGAAGTGAGGAGCACAGAAATTAATTATAAATATTTACTGATGATTTTTAGCACTAAATAACCTGACAAGGAGTTCAGTTTTCTGAGTGTGATCATGCTAAAGCATACAGTCTCCCAGAAGTCATGACATTGCACAACATCATCTTTTCTGCACATGCAGACAGTTCATATGGAAAATGTTTTTTTTTAATAATTTATTCCTGAAAATTCTTAATAAAAATTACCTTTCAAGATGTAAGCTGTGAAGACTGTTAACATAATGACAAAAACTGACATGCAGATGATGGCAATCTTCCAAGCATGAAAACCTTTTCCTGAAATACAAACCAGATAAAGTTGTACATACTTTGTGATATATTAGGCATAGTTCAGACTTCAAAATGACTGTGCAAAAAAAAAAAAAAAAGATTTTTTTTTTAGAAATTTAAAGTTTCTTAGAAATAATTTTTTACAGTAATATATATGCTTGAAAATACCTCTGATACTAAATGCTTAGAATTCTGACAATTTCAAATTTTATAATTAAGGATTTAAAGTACTGTATGTGGTATTTTAGGTACTGTGAAGATGAGTTGGTAACATTTGAAGGTCTCAAAGCAATAAATGATTACGTTGTTAACAAGTAATTGATTACCAATTATTGATACATTAGTTAACTGTTAATTCAGCATGGTTATTACTTAGTAACTGATTCAGCATTTAGCCATTAGTCGTAGTCTTTACTAATAATATACTTTGTCATAAAGATCATTGAAAGAACTGTGATGGGGGCATAAAGTAGTAACTTATAGTTAAGGCTTAGGAAATAAGAGTATAAGGAAACAGCTAATGGAGGAAATATATAATGATTTAACAGAATATTAATTAAGTAGCAACTACCAGAAGTAGTAAGTAATTACTATTAAGTTCTCATTTACTTCTTTATCTGAGTAACCATACATGAATTTGTTGGCACTACAATAAGCAACAGTTACTGCACAATTAATGAGTAAATAAGCTAGGAACAAAAGACATCAGTGTAATAATATATTCAATTATAAAGCACATTATCTATTATTAAAAATTAAATAATGCTCAATAAACAGCCAAGTAATATACCAATAAAGTGAAATTGATGACTTAATAACAATTAATAATTAATTTGAGACCCATTTTATAAACTGTTATTCATCAAATAATGCATTTGTTGCAAGTTAATAAGTCATAAGTAATCCTACTCTGAAATTGTGATGGCTCTTACCTTTAACTTCAACATAGACCTTAACCTCATCATCCCAGTCCCCATACCGAATGTAACACTGATAAAATCCCTCATCAGAAGGCTGGACTGCTGAGAGTTTGACTGAAGTGTTTCCTTTTTTAAGTTCTTCCTTAAATAAGCTTGTTCTTCCTCTATAAGACTCCATCTGCCTCTGATTTCTGTCTTCATAATCTACATACAGATGCACTAATCTCTCATCCAGGTACAGTCTGATCCACTCCACCATCATATCTTCAGCACTGATCCTGGGCTCGAGAGAACAGGGTAGAACCAGATCTTCACCAGCTTTGACAACAAGAGAAGCAGCTGGACCAACTACTTTTAAAAGTGCTAGAAAGAAAATCATAAATCAGTGATGCATCCAGTTTTCCTAATATTTTATCAGTGTAGCACTTTTATTCACTCCAAACTTTTGGTCACACAAAATCACTGGACACCTAAACAGGGTCATTTGATTTCACCATTTTGATTTGACCACCTGATGTCACCTTAAGTGTGAGCTATTGGTATTCTCATAGGCCCTGCTACAAATTATGTCACTGCTTTCATTCAGACATCAATTTAGACTATAAGTATGACACTAATTTCACATTTTCACACTTATTTTCCTTTTTTATAATCAAAGATTTCTATAGCTCAATCTTAGATGTGCTGAAATTAAGCTTGGCCTTTTCTGTCTCTAATTTGTAAATACATATCTTTTGGATAAAGTAATCTACCATAATACAAATACAGAAGCCTCTTCACTCTAAATGTACATGAAATATGCTTTCATATTTATTCATTCTCTTGTTGGTTTTCAATAACTGTGAGCTTATAATAATTACAACAACAAGAACAACAATAATAATCAAAAGAAGAAGTATTGAAGTATTGTTATCACTCACTTTTGACTTCAACATGAACAGCAATGTCATCAAACCAGGACTCTGATTTAATGGCACACTGATAAACTCCTTCATCAGAAGGCTGCACTGCTGAGAGTTTCAGTGAGGTGTTTCCTTTCTGCAGCTCTTCTTTAAACAGAGCTGTTCTTCCTCTGTATGACTTAATCTGTTTATCATTTGTGTCTTTATGGTCTTTATACAGATGAACTAATCTATTATCACTCAAATCTGGTCTGATCCACTCCACCATCATATCCACAGCACTGATGCTGGGTTGGAGAGAACAGGGCAGAACCACATCTTCACCAGCCTCAACAACAAGAGGAGCAGCTGGACCAACTACTTTAAAGTTCTCTGTAATCAAAAACGAATATAAAGTATAATACAATTACAGTAATAACAACAATTCCAATATATGTATAACCATGTATATATGAAATATTCAAAAGTATTCACTGCTTTGTAACTTTTTTCACATTATTATGCAAACCGAGGGCTAACATGGTCCAGTACAGTTGTTGTTTTTAAATTCATAATTTATCTAATCTAATGCCTCAGCCAATGAACCTGAAGACTTCTGCTCATGTGGCTGAACAACAGAACAGTATTGTTGGTCACTTAAACATGCTCAGAGTTAATGTCTGAATTTCCCATGTGAATGGGAAATTATGTAAAGTAAAATATGTAAAGTAAAATATGTAAAGTAACAATGGGAACTTGTTATGTGACAACATATGAAAATAAGTTGTACTTTAAACAATGCATTAAAAATACAGAATACTGAGATTAGAATATGTTTTTTAGATTGAACTGATTTGTAAATTACATTAAAGAATGTAATGCTTGTTATTTCATAATTATATAAAATCTATAAGTATACAGATACACAGCTTTGATAGACACATACCTGATGTGGTCTCCATAAAACCAGAGAAAATCAGTAGCATCACACAGAGAAACATCATTCCTGAAAGACAGTTTGAGAGTCAAAAAGCAAAATTAGAGCACTGCACACAAGATGAACCATTCAAATAAAAAAAACATCAAGCAGCATAAACACTGCAGATAAGGGTCACTTAACTTAAACTTAATCTTAGTTATAGTTATAATTAAATTCCAACTATGTCTGCACACTGAGCAGACATCTCTGGAATTTAATAATAACTGTAATTTAACAACTATCCTAATTTAGACAGATAGCTAGCACAGCAATATGTTTGTAGATTCTTTCATAACATTGCGAAAGATGAAGCATGTCAGAAATACATTTTCATACGTTTCCTACATTTTATTATAGACTCTGAACAAATGGTAACACTTAACAGACAGTAAGTACACGTACATGCAGCATTCATGCAACATTCATGAACAGTGTAGTAACACTTCATTATAATACATAATAGTTTTAAAACACTCAATATATTTATTAATGAGTAGCAAACATTTTAATTAACTTAAAACTCACTCAGTGATGTTTAGTGTAAACATCATATGATAATATAGTAAAATACATTAATATACATATTCCTGATTTTGGGGGGACAAATACAATTCTAAGTGCATGTTATTCACAAGATATCCATACCTCGTTCATTATTTGTTTGTTTAATAACATCCAAAAAGCATTCATAATTCATAAAAATGGTACAAGTTAATGACGTCACATTCCTATATATTACATGAACCTGTGCAGTATTTCAAAATGTGATCATGGATATGCGATTTGCATTACACTGTAATAAACAGAAACAATTATATATTCTCTCAAGTATTTTCATGATGGTTTTAGAGATACTGTGTAGCTTTCCTAAGTAAACTCTTGTAATATAATAAGGTATGAAGCTGATCTGGCTCTTACAGCTTCTAAAAGGGACAAGTCTGACAGAACTGAGACAGGAGCTTCAGTTCTGTTTATAACCTATGATGATGTGATGAGTATTACTTGATTGTCACAAAGGATTTTGATATATTTAGTAAATTCATCTTGGTTCTTGCCCAAATAAAATCAGTAATAAGCAGAGGAGGAAAGTAATGAATTACATTTGCTCTCATTACTGTTCTTGAATACATTTTCCCTGTAACTCCCTTTGAGAAGAATTAAATCATAATACTTGACTTAATTTCTAATAAAGCACTTTTACTTTGCTATTTTTAATTTTTAATAACATTACAGAATAAAAACTCATGAACCAGTTACAAGAAAGCCTTGTTGAATTTAAAACATTCAGTTAGTAAAGCCAATCAAAACAGAGCAGCTCCCAGCTGCAAAAACACTACATTTCAGCCCTGATGTTTTCAAAAATGTCAGTGGGGGAAGACAGAGGAGAACTTTCCCAGCAAAGGGAACACAGAGAAGATATTTTACTCAAACTGACGTCTTTATTTGTTTTCAAATGAACTAATGAAAATGGGGTCATTATAAACACACCTCCCAAAACCTGGAGAGATCTCTGCTTTCACAACCTCATCTTCTACCCTCAGAGAGCACATAGCTGACTGGCTAGCTAATCCTAGCTGAACAGGTACTGTGTTACAGAAAACAAAAATGGCAGGAATTTATTAAACTTAAAGCTGTTCCATGTTTTATTGTTTGTTAGTTAGCTCGTTTAGTTAACAGGTGTAAACCCATAGCCTACAGGTTTACCCATATAAATATGGTAAACAATAACTCTGCTGTGCTGAGATTTCTTTTTCTTGTACTGATTTTTTCTCTTACTGGCCTAAATAGTAATCTGATCAGACTGTGGGTGGTGGGGTGAGAGCATAAGTATTTGATTTATATGATATTTTTGCCACGAGCACACTGCACGTGGACAAAACAAATATCACCTCTTGTAAGAAAACATCAGAGCATCACACACTAGATCTAAAAAAGTGTTGCTGTAATATTTAGATCATCGTTCACTTTAATGGAAAAACAAGCTGTTGCGCTTGTAGTGTAACTTAAAAATGGATTAACAAAGATGCAGTTACACCTCGATCTCACCTTGGAGAGGATACTACATCATCAGAGACTCGTGCATCACAGAACGCAGCCTGACTGAGTTTTGTTTGTACATATTATTTCCATTGATGTAGCCAAGTCGACTCAGAAATATTTTCAGATTATGACTGTGGATACACAAAAGCAACTTGAATACTCAAGTAGTTTTCCAACAAATAACTTATTTACTCTTAATTGAGCGATTTCCTGTATTAATACTTTTACTTATACTTAAGATCATCACTACAGTAATAGTAGTAATACTTTTTCCACCCCTGGTAATGAGTTACCCAATAAAATAACCACTGCCATTTTAGTACTCATGCATAGAGATCATTTCAGCTGGGTGCATTGTTAGCCTGTATGATTACTAGTAATCTATGTTGACAGTGAAAAATAAAAACATACAGTATCGTGTTGATTGTTCTAAAGCATTTATTCTCTGGATAATTCCATAAGAACTGTTAATGTGAAGACGGTGCTAGCCTGCTGGCTGTGTTCATATGTAGATCAGAAATAACTGAGAATCAGTAAAGTGCTGACAGCTGGCAGAGTAAGACGTAGTGAGACTTGGAGAGAGCTATTAGAGAAAATTGTGCTTATGTGGCTGTGACCAACAACAGCTGGTTACTAAAGCACTATGATTTGTGCAAAAGCTATGTCTTCAAATAGCAGATAATGCTACAATACATTACTGTCTACTAATAAAATTAAGTAACCCTAAATTCATAAATTAAAACATAAAAAGTCTATGTAGAATAATAAATTGTTAAATATCTTTGTACTATTCTTATGCCCAAGAAACTACTAAAAATGGCATAAGAGAGCATTAAAAAGTAGCATTAAAAAGGCCAAGACCTATATATATGCAAATTGTAAATGCCCACTTTCCAACATGGTTCTAAACCCCATCCCCGTCCCCACTACCATGCATGCCATCTCTATCTATTTTACAGGCTGGACAGATGAGGTAAAAGCAGAGCAGAAGCAGAAAAATAAGCTCCCATTGTAACGTTAACAATCAGAAAGATTCTGTCTTTTTCACTCTGCCTCCAGTCTCTTGATTTCACTTCCTCACTTTTGAGTCTTTATTCTCTGAACGTGCCTCAGTGAGCAGGAATGGCTGAATTTGAGTTTTCATTTTGAGCTCAGAATTGGGTGGGAATTTTAAATTAAAACACATAAATACATTGCCATTTTACATATTTCACTTTAATTGGGATTTTCTCTATTGAAAATGAAAGTGAAACAGATTTACCTGCTCAGATTTGAGTCTTTATTCTAAACTTGTGAGGCTTCACTGAACTGGAATGTGTGTCAAACTTTTCAGTCAGCTAATGCTAGCTTCTAGCGAATGTGGAGCAAAAGTGCCTTAGACTTGCAGCTTTACATGCAAACACACAGGTTTACCTGCTCAGAATAGAATAGAATCTAGTCTTTATTCTCAAAACGTGCATCAATGAGGCTTCAGTAAGTCAAAAATAACCTGTGCTGTGGTGAAATTGTTGCATTCTACACTTCTGCAGTAGCATAGCTACCCCCTACTAGAACAGTGCCCAGCAAGAGGCGGTATAAGACTACTACCTGAGCGCTAAGGGGTGACCTGACACTAGTTTAGCATCAGCAGAGCAGGCTCATGGCATTTCTCATGGCTCTCGTGGCACTTGTTGGCACTTAGCACGCTCTCTCATTAACATATTTTAGTATAACGGACCGTGTTCCATTGTACTAAAATATATACTGCTTATTTGCAAAGTACATAACTAAAATGCTACATAGGTCTGTATTTTGGAAAAATGGAAAAATGTGAACTCTGTAGTGCTATAGTAACATATTTTATATAAATATCACTCTTTATAACCATAATTACCCATCTAACAAGAGTTAAAAGTTAAAATGTCTCCATTTAAAAGACATATTTGTGTGTACAGGGCGCTTTAAACACATCAAAAAAATTCCAAATCACCTCAGACTGCAAAAATGTGGACATTGAGCCACTAGCCTTCACTAAGCCTTCACTAAAACACTGTAGCACCAGGCTGTTGTATTGAAGAAGAACAAAATAGCTCCACCTAGCTGCACAAAACTGTTTTACTGTAAAGTTACTGTTTTTGTTCATGTGTTTCATATCAGTCATGAATGCTTTATGACCATAAACACTTTGAAATATAATTAATGTAATTCTAAGCTCTCTTTATTAGGTTTACTGTGTGTTTAGTATCGTAGGCTATTTAAGTTGTGGGCTTTCATATTGTGGACTTACACTGTTGTTTTAATGCTGGAGCACAACAGCGAGACGAACACAAACACAAACCATCTAACGTTTGCAAGTGTACTTAGAACGTTCAGAAAAAGAACTGAAAAGTAAAAATAACTAGAATAAACATGAAGAAAACATTCCAGAGTGTTTAATCAATCAATCCTTTTTGTTTGATCATGTCTGTCCCATCAGTGTACTCTGGCCTTAAAGGTTATGTTAAACTAATAATCTGTGCCGTTCATTTGCACCCATTTGTTAGGACTCCCGCAGTTGCACGATACCACCAGTGCTAGGAGAGTGAAAGTGAACACAGGCTTCCTCTGAGACCTGTGAAGCTCCACTGCATCTTTTCGAACTGCTGCTTACACAACGTCATTGGACAGGTGAACGCGGTCAGAGGAAAGCACTAACCGCCAGTTCTGTTCTGTCAGCTAACAGACGCCTGCGCTGACTAGCATCACACTTAGAGATGGGGTGAGATGGAGGGCCATCCTACCCACCCAGAGAGAGCGAAGACAACTGTGCTGTCTTGGACTCCCGAGCACAGATGGCTGTAGCATCACCAGGGATCCAACTCACGATCTCCTGACGATGGGGTTAAAAATAATTCTTCATGATGACACTACGCTGGCCTCCGTGTGTTAGTTCATGCCACATACACATAACTACACTGGTATCAGTGAAGTGTCAACCACCCAGCCTGAAATAATCTAGGGGAAACACTGCATGTGTATAAACTGGTTGACTTTATCTTTTGCAGTACAAAACTAACTAAATGAAAATAGTACAATATCACAGAAACCCAAACTCTGATGTGGACTTTAGCAAACAAACCAGGTGTGAAGACAGTCTTAAAATCTGTTCATTTTCCTACACAGACATTTCAATAATGCATCATATGATTCACATTTAAACTACACTTCTCTGACACTTATTGTTTGAGAGTTTTACACACACTGCAAACGAGCAGTAAAGGCAGAAATAATATCCATCAAAAAGCTGAGAGCATGGCAGCTTCTCCCATCTTTACATAGGAGCTCCAGAGATCTGTCAGAGTGATTATGGTCACCTCCCTGACTTGCTCCTCAATCATTTGCTCAGTTTGGCCAGGCAGGCAGTTCTACAGAGAGTCTCAATGATTTTGAACTTCCTGATGTCCAATCAGCTGAATTTACCACAGACACAGGAGCTCTAACACAGCGGTTCAGACAGAGGGTGAATGCAGATGTACAGTATGAGAAAAATAATGTGTTTTTGGAACATTTTGGAAATTTTTGGAAAGCATGTTAATCTATTCTAGGAGACCCCAGAAACACTGAAAAAACAGAATGCAGCATTTCTGCCATATAGAATAACTGCAATTGTTAATGCATATCATTAACCGTTCCACAATCGGTCAAATACACTTACTGACGTCTGAATAAACTACATAAAAATAATGTGCTGTATGTAATGAAAGTACTCCTACAGCCACAACTCTCTCACTGCCTCACATGTCATGCAGTCAGCATTGATTGTTATCACTATGGCTCCTCTGTGCTGAAACTGGACAATGCTTTCCCCACAGAGCACTGGAATGGTCTCCCTAACCTTCTCTGGCTCAAAGTGTTTTGCTTCTCCAGACTTAGTGGGGTCACTCACAGAGTAGCAGAGTGGACTTCTCAGCCTGCTCACTAGCAACCTCTACTGGGATAGATTCACATCTCGTCTGCTACTCCAGCTCCCCCTGAATGAGTGGTATCTGTGTTCAGCCCATGTGATGAATATTAGGAACAGCGACTCAATCCAATTTACAGTTTATTGGCTTTCAATTTGATTTCATGCGAATTAAGAAAAATCTGCTTCAATTTGATCCTTGTTTTACTCCAAACATCAACTCAATTTGGAAACTCAATTCAGCACCTTTATGATTTTTTTATAAAGAATTACGTTATTAAATGAAATATAATGACTGCCTAATTAATATAATATAATATAAAATATAATGGACTTCCCTAATATTTCTCTAGTAAAAACCTGAATCAGTCAGATTACTTCAGTAATGTTTATTACAACAAAGGTAAGTCAACAATAGAACATGCTCTAAATTGCTTGGACACAAGGCATATGTGTGTTTGTGTGTGTGTGTCTGTGCAAATAAATCTAAATATTGACCAGCGATGATACACACAAACAGGAGATGGCACAGAAAAAATAAAATTCTTTTACTTGAGTAAAATGATACAGACCTCACAGGGTTCTCAGCATAGGAGTCGTGAGATAATTTGAGGGGTCGTGACGTGGTCTTCTATTTTGGATTACATGACTGATTTATAAAACCTTTCCAGTGTCTTATATTATTATATTGTTGTAGTGCCTCCCGTAGTGTTTCATGGTCAGTAGTTAAATCAGTAGCGCTGTGTGGACTTTAATCTGATCCATATTTCTGTTTAGAATTTTGATGTCATCAGAGAATGTCTGTAGTGAACTGATTGCACTGACAGTGGAATACAGCTACAGTGCTGGAGGAAGGAGAATGATGTGAAAATAATTGGAATATAATTTATCAATAAAAACTGCATGTGTGTGAGAGAATGAAGACGTAAGCGAGAGAGAGGTGTGTAGTTGTTGTTGTCAGTAGTTCCAAGACATAGTTTGAGGTGTGTTAAAATTGTGTGTGTGTGTGTGTGTGTGTGTGTGTGTGTGTGAGAGAGAGAGAGAGAGAGAGAGAGAGATAGAGAGGGAGAGAGAGAGAGATAGGGAGGGAGGGAGGGAGGTGGGATGGATGTGTTGTTGTTGTTGTTGTCAGTAGTGATTCACATTCTTTGGCTCCAGTTCCAAAATACAGTTTACCTGATGTGTGTTAAAACCGTGTGTGTGTGTGTGTGTGTGTGTGTGTGTGTGTGTGTGTGTCTTTGTGTGTGTGTGAGAGAGAGAGAGAGAGAGAGAGAGAGAGAGAGAGAGAGAGAGAGAGAAACTTTCCTTGTGGTCGCAGGCTTCATTGGTATCTGTGTTGTTGGACCGAATTTTAACATGAAAGGACCTTTAGCTGAACACAACTTTTAGTGTCATCTGAAAGTCTACTTTAGATCTAATGATAAGCAGCCTGAAGCAGCTGCAGTGATCTCTGAGTGGGACTTTAAGGTGCTCAACATTGTTTTGGTCAGTAGCTTGAAAACACAGAGTCATGAGTTTCACACTGAAGTAATGAAGAAATGGCTATTTTGATGCAGCCCAGTGTGTTGCTTGACTGCACTGTTATTATACAAGCATAATTTTAAATCACTAAAGGTGATTGTAGATAATGTCCTTACATCACTGTTACATAATATCTATAACTAAAAACTTCAGTGTGCACTTATTAAAGCTTAAACATTAACATAAAGCCTCAGCATTAAACCTTCAGCAACTGCACACAATGCAAAGAAACACAGTGTGAAACATTACATGAATTACACAAAAACAAAACGACAATGATATGATCAGAACTGGAAAACACAGAACCTGCTCATATTCCTATGTAGATATTTTAACTTCATAATAATAATAACTTGAATAACTTCATCTCTCTAACCTCAGTTCAGTTTGAGAGTCTGTTTCACACTAAAAGTCAAAAACAAGCAGTAAATCAGAAATAATATCCATTAAAGCCGAGAGCAGAGTTACCTGATTCTGAGGTCAGAGTTCAGAGTCTTTAAAGCCGAGAGCAGAGTTACCTGATTCTGAGGTCAGAGTTCAGAGTCTTTAAAGCTGAGAGCAGAGTTACCTGATTCTGAGGTCAGTGTTCAGAGTCTTTAAAGCCGAGAGCAGAGTTACCTGTTTCTGAGGTCAGAGTTCAGAGTCTTTAAAGCTGAGAGCAGAGTTACCTGTTTCTGAGGTCAGAGTTCAGAGTCTTTAAAGCTGAGAGCAGAGTTACCTGATTCTGAGGTCAGAGTTCAGAGTCTTCAGGTAGAAAAGTTCAGCTCCGTCTTTATCAGGATCTCCAGTCCTACAGCAGACACACATCAGCTCATATATGATAATACGATCTGTAGTTTCTCACAGTCGACCAGTTTATTATATCACACTCCTGAACACACTCAGCTCCTCTACTGGACTTTAGACTGAATGATAAACTAGCTGTAACTTCCTTTTCCTCAGAAAGAGAAAACCAGTTGGAGCACATTTCACTCTCATTATACTAAAAGTGTATCTGAGGTCAAATCAAACTCTTCCAAACGTGTATTTGCATATAAAAGTTCATACTGATGTACTCAGTGTGTAAAGTCAGTAAACACTGAACAGACTGTCTGTATGTGACCCAGAAATCCAGACAGACAGCAGTGCTGCTGTTCTAATGGTCTCATTATTAACTACATCATCCATGTACAGTCAGATTAAACAGGTTCTAATGTTCCACTCATACATGAAGAGGAACACAGCATGAAGCTCAGTGACAGAGTTACTGCCGGAGAACTTCAGGAAGTTACTGTGTTTCTGTTCACACAGAAATGGTTTCAGTTCAGGTTCACAACTCAATGAGTGTCTGAATGATTTCATTAGAAAAACATGAACTACTTCCAGATTCCAAACAACAACAAACCACATTCCACACACAGGAGGGGCTGAACACAGTGAAACTGAGAGAGAGAGAGAGAGAGAGAGAGAGAGAGAGAGAGAGAGAGAGAGAGAAACAGAGAGAGAGAGAGAGGTTCATGCATTGTTCAGCTCTTGGACCCAGTGTAGTTGATTATGCTATCACTGACATGTATCCCTCCTACATCAACGCATTCATTGTCCATTATCAAACTCCTCTATTAGACCATAACCAAATTAATGTGTATCTAAAATGGTCAAACAAACCCCAGCAAACGGCAGCAGAGCCCAGTAAGCTGGTCACAGTCCACAGGACTTACAGATGGGCTCTGGATAGCTCTGAGAAATTCATGCATGCACTCCAATCAGTTCCTGTATCTAACAAAATCACTAACTTTATTAACACCCATTCTGAGAATAATAAGACCAGTGTTAACCTTGCTGTGAATGAAATCAACAGCATTCTTCAAACAGCATCTTCTATAGCTGACCTTCAAAGAAAAAAGGGAAAACAAGTAAAAAAACTGGAAAAAGAAAAATGGTTTGATTTCGAATGCCAATCAATTAGAAAAGAACTAAGAAACTTTTCAAATCTAAAACACAGACAACCTGACAATCAAAATCTGAGACAAAAATATTGTGAAACTCTTAAACATTATGAACATACAATCCAAATCAAAAAACAAAATCACACGAACAAAACTCTCAGAGAAACAGAAGATTCTGTTACACAAAATCAGTTCTAGGAGATGTGGGATAACCTGAGCACAACAAAACCACAAGACATACCTACACAAAACAGCGACATTTGGAAAAAACATTTTGAAAATCTCTCAAAAAGATGTAAATTCCAATCACAATCTGGTCACGCAAAAATTACAGTTGCTTAAATACACAATCAAAGACAACCAAAACCCACTCGATTATCCAATAACGCCAAAGCACTCCTGAGCTGCAGAGGGCAGTGCTCAAGTTATTCAACCTCGCTCTGAGTACAGGCTGTTTTCCTGACATCTGGAGCCGAGGACTTCTAACCCCGATCCATAAGAGTGGAGATAAATTGGACCCTAACAATTTCAGAGGCATCTGTGTGAGCAGTAACCTGGGGGAAGTGTTTAATAGCATTTTAAATAACAGAATTCTGACTTTCCTTAACGAACACAATGTCCTGAGCAAGAATCAGATTGGCTTCCTTCCAAATCACAGAACTACCGACCACATTTACACCCTACACACCCTAATTAATCAACACGTACACCAAACAAAAAATGGAAAATTTTTTGCCTGTTTTGTAGATTTCAAGAAGGCTTTTGATTCTATAGGGCATGAAGGGCTTTATTATAAACTTCTACAGAGCGGTGTTGGGGGTAAAGCTTATAATATAATCAAATCAATGTATTTGGAAAACAAATGTGCGATAAGAATTGAAGACAAACGTACAGAATTCTTCACTCAGAAAAGAGGAGTGAGGCAGGGCTGCAGCCTCAGTCCAACACTGTTCAACATCTACATTAATGAGTTAGCGGTGCAGCTGGAACAGTCTGCAGCTCCTGGACTCACTCTACAGGATCAGGAGGTGAAGTTTCTGCTCTACGCAGACGACCTGGTGCTGCTGTCTCCGAGCACAGAGGGGCTACAGCAGCACCTGGACCTGCTGGAGCAGTACTGCCAGCACTGGGCCCTGGCAGTAAACCTGAAGAAGACAAAAGTTATGATCTTCCAGAAAAGGCCCAGGTGTCAGGAACACAGGTACCTGTTCACTCTGGGCAGCACCGCCCTGGAGCACACGATGCAGTACACTTACCTCGGCCTCATCGTCACTGCATCTGGGAGTTTCAGCGCAGCAGTGAATGCACTAAAGGAAAAAGCTGTCAGAGCGCTGTACGCAATCAGGAGGACATTCTACAGTATCGACATTCTCATCTCAATCTGGTGTAAAGTGTTTGAGAGTGTGATCCAGCCCATTGCGCTGTATGGGAGTGAGGTGTGGGGTCCACTCAGTGAGCACGGCTACACTAGATGGGACAAGCATCCAACAGAAGCCCTGCATGCAGAATTCTGCAGAACGATCCTGAAAGTCCAAAGAAAAACACAAACCAATGCATGCACTGAGTTGTGAATGTACTGAACTGTGAATGTACTGAGCTGTGAATGCACTGAGCTGTGAATGCACTGAGTTGTGAATGCACTGAGCTGTACATGCACTGAACTGCGAATGCACTGAGCTGTAAATGCACTGAACTGTGAATGCACTGAGCTGTAAATGTACTGAACTGTGAATGTACTGAGCTGTAAATGTACTGAGCTGTGAATGCACTGAGCTGTGAATGTACTGAGCTGTAAATGTACTGAACTTTGAATGCACTGAGCTGTGAATGTACTGAGCTGTAAATGTACTGAGCTGTAAATGTACTGAGCTGTAAATGCACTGAGCTGTGAATGTACTGAGCTGTAAATGCACTGAGCTGTGAATGTACTGCAGTTTCCAAGTTCTCCAAATCGTCAATGTCATTCAGAACAGGACAGGCCAATCAAAATGATCTCAATTTACTTTAAAAATTTTAGTCAGTAGTTGTATGAGTAATGCTGTGTGCTCTGTAGTTAGCAGTGCTGTGTAGTCAGTAGTTATAACAGTTGTGCTGTCTGATTAGTAGTTGTATCAGTAATGCTGTGTGGTCAGTAGTTGGACCAGTGGTGCTGTGTGGTCAGTAGTTCACTCAGTGGGGCTGTGTGGTCAGTATTTCACTCAGTGGGGCTGTGTGGTCAGTAGTTTGATCAGTGGTGCTGTGTGGCCAGTAGTTTGATCAGTGGTGCTGTGTGGTCAGTTGTTAGATCAGTGGTGCTGTGTGGTCAGTACAGCATCTATTTTTGTCGTTTTTTACTTTTTGGAGATACAAGCTTTTGTTCTGATAAAATGCTACATGATTCACTGAACAGAATTATGGGATTGCAAATTCCAAAATGATATATGCCGGGATACACATGGCGTGTTTCAGTGGTCACTTTATTAACTGAAATCCCTAAAAATCTGCTGAAGCACTACTTAGAACCAGCCTGACGGCTACACTGGTCTCTGAGTGCAGCTTTACTGAGCTCAACAATGTTTTCTGGTCAGTAGTTTGAAAAGATAGTCAGGATTAATGTGATGGCTGAACAGCTCCACTAGTGTTCTTCACACAAATCACTGTTATTCTGCACAGTGTAATTTAAAATAGAAAAGGTAGTTTAGATAATTACACACAGTCTCCTCTTCTACTGTATCAGAATATCTCTGACTTATCATGAGAGGCACTTTAACCAGTTCATGGGCCCTATTGGTCTATTTGCACACAGCATCCAAAACATGAAGCTACTTTCTTATTGTCCAGTTCTTTTTCAAATATTATGTATGAAACCATTTAAGGAGGAATGGAAAATTAAAATAAGAATTTGGCAGCCAGTTTCCACCTCACTCATACCTTTTGGCTTAAAAACAGCGAGTTTGAGAAGAGTTTGTTAGCTGATACCAAACATGATGAACTAAATTTATCAAAATTGATGTTTGAAAAACCTTTATTCTGTTAAAACTGTACAAGTTCAGTAAGTTTTAATATAAAAATCGAAACATATCCTGAACTTGAGATGAAAGTATGTGCTATAGCTGTGTTGCTAGCTATAGCCTATAGTGTGCAAGCTATAGTCTATAGTTTGGTCCAGTGCCATAGGCAGAAATACATTTTTGGGTAAGCCTGTGAAAAAAGTGGGAAGGCCAACTTGGTAAATCCCATTTCCAAATGCACTAATGTTCTGCAATGTCACAACATCAACCTACAGCCTATTCCAGCCATGCAGTCATCACCCTACCTAATCCACCACATCTACTCTATGGTAATACAAAACAACAGCAATTAAACAGATTACTGGATTCATATAAACACAACCAACACTACAGCACCCTTCACTATAAAGCATGCGTTCACTCACCACAGCCATGTTTGCCCAATGAAGACGACATTACTGAGATAAAATCAGACAAAACAACACAGTAAACTTTAAAACCTAAACTTATTTACTGTAGGCTAAAGCGTACTGCCACAGCAGGAATGAAAAATATTTAGGATCCATTCATGTCTTACCTTAATGCACTGAAGTAACGTTAGATGTTTACTTTCACATTTTCACAAAGCCCACATTAGCCGTTGTAGTAATAGAGCATTATAAGTACAAAATTCACAGAAAACGAAGAGCGGTGTGGGGGGTAAAGCTTACGATATAATCAAATCAATGTATTTGGAAAACAAATGTGCGATAAGAATTGAAGACAAACGTACAGAATTCTTCACTCAAGAGGAGTGAGGCAGGGCTGCAGCCTCAGTCCAACACTGTTCAACATCTACATTAATGAGTTAGCGGTGCAGCTGGAACAGTCTGCAGCTCCTGGACTCGCTCTACAGGATTAGGAGGTGAAGTTTCTGCTCTACGCAGACGACCTGGTGCTGCTGTCTCCGAGCACAGAGGGGCTACAGCAGCACCTGGACCTGCTGGAGCTTATTTACTGTAGGCTAAAGCGTACTGCCACAGCAGGAATGAAAAATATTTAGGATCCATTCATGTCTTACCTTAATGCACTGAAGTAACGTTAGATGTTTACTTTCACATTTTCACAAAGCCCACATTAGCCGTTGTAGTAATAGAGCATTATAAGTACAAAATTCACAGAAAACGAATGGATTTTTTTCAGCTTTGTATAAGTAGTAACTGTTAGATTTTTCAGGAAGGAATCTCACTTTTAAACATCCCCAGTTTCATCTTTTTACCTGACTGGAGCTTCAAATTCAAACACTGACATGCTGAACGAACTGAAGGCTTTAGACAATGGTGGCTAGCAAAGCTTGCTGTGCATTGAACGGAGAGCTTAGAATAGAAGGCAGAGCTTGGTGGAGAGTGTAATGATTTGATTGGGCATAATAAAGTGACAGTGCTCACAGTAAACAAATCAAATTTCCCCAAGACCTGTGATTAATCTGGACAGACACAGGTAGTAGAAGGGAAATAAATAACTCATGAAAAACCCAAAAGAAAACAAAATAAAACAAAACAAAAAACGGCCCCAGGGCTTCAGCCCATGCTTAATTTGCCCCTGCATATCATTCCTTTCAGAACAAAAGGAATGATAGATCACTAAACAATACTAAACAATGAGAATCAGAATTTAAAGAAGATTTTTTGCTGCCTCCAACTCCGGTCAGTGCTGTGAGGCTTTAACTGTATTGTACAGAGACAGTCATAAACAGATAAATATATTTAAAGGATCCCTGAATAAATCTTGAATAAATACAGAACACAGATCTGTAGGCTAAAGAAAAAATATACACAGTGCAAAGATACTGTGAAACATTACATAAAAACTCCTACAGAAAGTAGTAATCAGAACTGGAAAACAGCAGAATTGTTCATCTTCCTATGTAGACATTTCAGCAAATAACCACAACTGAACTGAAAACTTCATCTCTCTAACCTCAGTTCAGTTTGAGAGTCTGTTTCACACTGAAAGTTAAAAACAAGCAGTAAATCAGTAATAATATCCATTAAAAGCTGAGAGAAGAGTTACCTGATTCTGAGGTCAGAGTTCAGAGTCTTTAAAGCCGAGAGCAGAGTTACCTGATTCTGAGGTCAGTGTTCAGAGTCTTTAAAGCCGAGAGCAGAGTTACCTGATTCTGAGGTCAGAGTTCAGAGTCTTTAAAGCCGAGAGCAGAGTTACCTGATTCTGAGGTCAGAGTTCAGAGTCTTTAAAGCCGAGAGCAGAGTTACCTGATTCTGAGGTCAGAGTTCAGAGTCTTTAAAGCTTAGAGCAGAGTTACCTGATTCTGAGGTCAGAGTCTTTCAGAGTCTTCAGGTAGAAAAGTTCAGCTCCGTCTTTATCAGGATCTCCAGTCCTACAGTAGAGACACACATCAGCTCATATATGATAATACGATCTGTAGTTTCTCACAGTCGACCAGTTTATTATATCACACTCCTGAACACACACTCAGCTCCTCTACTGGACTTTAGACTGAATGATAAACTAGCTGTAACTTCCTTTTACCTTTAAAGAGAAAACCAGTTGGAGCACATTCAGTCACATTAGAGTGTATCTGATATCCAGTCTTAACAAGACTGGGCAAGCAGGGCTTTGATGGATCAACATCAGCTACACTGCATTTGTCACAGAAGCGTCTATGATACTGGATTTATTTATATACCAAACTTTATGTACTGGGTGGAAAGTTCATATTTTACCCCACCAGCTGCAGTTACCAGTCAAGTTTTATCTTATTTACCTGGCTAAACGTGACACCCGTGGATAGGATATCTGAGAGCGAGTGACTTTTGTTAGATTGAAAGCAAGCATGTGTATCTCTTTAGTGTCTCTTTAGTGGCTAATCTACTATCATGCTTAGTTTTTTCTTAGTTTGCTTTTTTCCTGGCCCTGATTTTTCCCCTCTTTCTGTCAGCGCCACCTACTGATGAGCTGCTACACCGCCAATCATGAGCCCTCTAAAATATAAATGGGTGGAATGTGTTTATTTAGCCATTCAGACTTGGAATGGAAATTTGACATGTCATAATTTTGAAATACCATCATCATTTTGGAATATTATCATAATTAAAAAAAACCTACTGTTTAAATTTTTATTTGCTGGACCACAGGACACTTTTCCACTTCCCCTCAGTCCATTTTAAATGTGCTCAGGCCCAGAGAAGCTGGCTGCGTGTCTGGATCATGTTAATATATGGTTTCTTCTTTGCATTTTAGAGTTTTAACTTGCATTTGTGGATGCAGTGATAAACTGTTTTCACAGACAGTGGTTTTCAGAAGTGTTTCTGAGCTCATGCAGTGATTTCCACTACAGAATCATGTCTGTTTTTAATGCAGTGCTGTCTGAGGGCCCAAAGATTACACCAGCAAATACTGGTTTTTGACCTTGTCCCTTACATACAGAGATTTCTCCAGATTCTCTGAATATTTTAATGATATTATGAACCGTAGATGATGAAAAGCAAAAGTTCTTTGTTATTTTATGTTGAGAAATGTTATTCTTGAATTGTTGCGCTATTTGCTTGTGCAGTCTTTCACAGAGTGGTGAACCCCTCCTCATCTTTACTTCTGAAAGACTCTGAGATGCTCTTTATACCCAATCATGTTACTGACCTGTTGCCAATCAACCACCAGCTGTTTTTTTAGCATTACACAACTTTAATAGCCTTTTGTTGCCTCCGTCCCAACTTTTTTGGAATGTGTTGTTGGCATCAAATTCAAAATGGGCATATATTTTTAAAAAAACAACAAAATTTCTCAGTTTCAACATTTGATATCTTGTTTTATACTATTTTCAATGAAATATACGGTTTAACTGATTTGCACATCATTGCATTTGTTTTTATTTACATTTTGCACAGCGTCCCAACTTTTTTGGAAACGGGGTTGTACAATGGTATATAGTTTCACAGGAGAAAAATACATCCCTCTCACTCAAAGACGAAATAACTAACTAACTAACTAATTAAATAAATAAAGTAAGACTGTTTTCAAATGTTATTAATATTTCTATGTACCTGACACATCTACATAATCCTGTATATGGAAAACTGTGTGTATGTAATACCTGTGTACAATATATGTAAAAAAAAACAGTTTTTGCTTTAAATTTAGTTATTTATTTGTGTTTACTTGTACTTTAGAGTAAGTGAATTTATATACATGTAAACATATGAATATTTACACATATATATTAACAATCATGTGAAATCTGGTCTTCCAGTAGCAGAAGGTTAAAGTTACTTTCAGTTTCGTTTCAGTGCGTAACCTGATCACATGCTGAAAATCGCCCTCTAGTGGTAAATAAGTGGAACATCCCAAAATGCTTCGTATACACTGTGTCTGCAGCATGTACCTCTCTCTCTCTCTCTCTCTCTCTCTCTCTCTCTCTCTCTTCCTTCATCTCTCCTTCTCTCTCTTTATCTCTTCCTAGCCTAAGCACATTAATAGTTTCCACATATTTACAGGTCTCTCTCTCTCTCTCTCTCTCTCTCTCTCTCTCTCTCTCTCTCCACGTGTTTACAGTGCTCCACTACACAAAATATAGGGATAAAGGGATTTATGTGCTTTAACCCTCTGTTTGAGTCTCGTGACTGGTTTCAACATCAGCTCGTCTCACATTTCCCTTCAGTTTAATCCACCACTGAGCTGAATTAAAGAATCCATACATACAGACACTCAAAATATCCTGAGTCACACAAGCTTATTGTACATTACTGTATTTCATATTTAATGAACTCACTGTGTGAAATCCAGAGCAGTGAAACCTGTAAACAGCTCCTCTTCGCTGAGGGCTTCAGCTTAAAGTTACTTTCAGTTCTGTTTCTATTCATCACCTGATCACCTGATCAGTATCGCCATCTAGTGGTTAGGTGGAAAAACATCCTCCCCCCAGCAGATCTCAGTTTAAACATGAGACATGCTGTCTCCAATACGGCTTGTTGACAGGATTTTTTCTCTCTTATGAGAATTATTTATTCTCTCTTAATATTGTTTTTGATTTAGTTGGTTATTCACTGAAATATTTCCTCTGCTTTTAGATCTGTGCTTATTTTGAGCTTTATGCTCTTGTGAAGCTACTGTAGCGACTCAGAGATTAGACCAGCAACACATATTTAATAACTACGTAAATGTGTGAGAAAAATATGATTACAAGGAAAATTCGTACTGAAACTATCGTGATGGTGGTTCTCAATGGAGATTCTGTGAGATGGGATCACACCACACTCACTGTAATTAGGAAAACTGCACCCATATATGGTGCAACTTTGCCACCTTTATTACTATTACTATTAAAATAATTATTTAAAACATTTGAACACACTGCTACAACCCTTAAGTAATTAGCCTATCAATTATCCAGTATATACAGCAGTAATAAGCATTCCCTCTATATTCATTTAATACAACAGTACTTTTGGCGGCACCTTTGGTGTCTCCTTCTAGAACTGCTCTTGATAATTTTTTCTATTTACTGCCCCCCAACAGTGAAATGAAATCCACCCACCCTAAAACCTCATTCACTGTAATGATTTTCACTTCCACAACCAGATATTTCAGCCATAATCTCAAAATACAGCGCTGAGGAGAAAAACAAGGTGGATATGACTTTATAAAGTGTCTGATAGAGCTAATAAACACACATCTCTAAAGCACTGCAGGTCTGTCCCTCTGCTGGTCAACCCGCACTACTGCACATCACCACGCCTTTTACAGTATTAGTGCTTTATCAGCTCAATGTTCCTCATAAACAGTAATGCGCTCTGAATTCAGACAAAACACACAGCTATCGGCGTTAAATACGACTATATCTGTGTTCGCCGCTCAGTTTACAGCGTTTATACATTCACACCTTCACTCAAACAGACTCTCGGCCCTCTCACCAGATGTTTGTCACAGCTGAAAGACCAGTTTAGTGTCTGTGAAACACGTAAAAACGTGCTCTTGTTTTAAACTACATGCAGAAATTCCTCATTTCTGTTAGTTAACTTGCAGAGTGAATCCAAAGCGCTGATGTCTGAGCTCTTCTCTCCGTTTGTAATGGCGTCAGATTAAAGTTGCTTCCGGTTTCTCTCTCACTGCCCCCCTCCCCCCCCTTCACCAGTCTCTGTTCCTCTTCCTTTCTGAGATCAACAGCGACACAGTAGCGAGATCACTTTGCCACCTTTATTACAATTAAAATAATTATTTAAATCATTTGAACACACTGCTACAACCCTTAAATAATTTACCTATCAATTATCCAGTATATACAGCAGTGATAAGCATTCATTCTATATTCATTTAATACAACAGTACTTTTGTATTAAACACCTTTGGTGTCTCCTTCTGGAACTGCTCTTGAGAATGTTTTCTGTTTACTGCCCCCCAACAGTGAAATGAAATATCCACCCACCCTAAAACCTCATTCACTGTAATGAACTTCACTTCCACAACCAGATATTTCAGCCATAATCTCAAAATACAGCGCTGAGGAGAAAAACAAGGTGGATATGACTTTATAAAGTGTCTGATAGAGCTAATAAACACGCCCCTTAAAAGCGCTGCAGGTCTGTCCCTCTGCTGGTCAACCCGCGCTACTGCACATCACCACGCCTTTTACAGTATTAGTGCTTTATCAGCTCAATGTTCCTCATAAACAGTAATGCGCTCTGAATTCAGACAAAACACAGCTATCAGTGTTAAATACGACTATATCTGTATTCACCGCTCAGTTTACAGTGTTTTTAGACCTTCACCCAAACACATTCGGCCCTCTGGTCGGAAGTTCGTCTCGTGTGTCAGTGATCGGTCACTGAGTATCTGCTGTAGAGTAAATTTAATTCTCCACTGAGTTGAGCTGAAAGACCAGGTTAGTATCTGTGAAACACATAAAACGTGCTCTCGTTTTAAACTACATGCAGAAATTCCTCATTTCTGTTAGTTAACTTACCGAGTGAATCCAAAGCGCTGATGTCTGAACTCTTCCCTCTGTTTGTAACGGCGTCAGATTAAAGTTGCTTTCGGTTTCTCTCTCACTGCCTCACCCCTCCCCCCTTCACCAGTCTCTGCTTCACTTCCTTTCCGAGAAGATCAACAGCGATACAGTAGCGAGTTGAGATCACTGTCCATCACTAAAGACATGTATTACCATGTATGAAATGAAAGTAACATTACATTAGAAGCAGTTTGTTTGTTTACTATATTGAAAAGCCTATAACAGTAAAGTATCAACATTTTTAAATAACAGTCATTTAAGTTCATCTAAAAGGGGCTCCCACCTTCTTGCCAGACCCCCAGAATGTTATACCATCTGGTCAGTGCCTCCAGGCTGGTGATGAAACATCTACATGCTTAAGTTTAATTTATACATTATCTAAATGTATGAATAAAACATAAATTATATAAAGTATGAATTATATAAATGATGCCGTAGCAGACCTAATATTAATGGGAAACACATTACTTTTGTGTGATGTTTATTTTAAGTATGTACACAACTTTCACTGTATAAAATAACTATAAATATCTCATCCCCCACTTTAAACGCCTTTGATCTAAGACAGTTAATTGACAGACCTATCCAGTGCGAGTCTTGATGAGGACAAACTGTGATTGTGTTTTCCAGTAGAGAGTCTGCAGATGTTGAGGCTGCCAGACTAAAGCAAGCAGCCAGGATTTAGAGAGGAGGGTCAGACAGTTCAAATGCCATCAACCCTGAAAGTTCTTTGTTAGACCAAACAGGCACTGAACCAACAGCTGGCGCTGTAAATACACAGTATGTTTCCACTAAACAAGGCCAAATACAGCTTCACACAGTTCTTTAGGCAAAGTTTTCCAGGAAAAAATTGTATAAACTAAGTTCATTTAAATCTGTTGCACTATAACTGCAGATTCTTGGTTCAGAGAGTGAGGAGAACTTGGAAAAATGTGAAAACCTACTGATGCTAGCTGGATGTCTGAGAAACATCACACTTGACAACACAAAGGAAGTTGTACAAGATGTCATGGTAACACTTTATTTGGATGGTCCACTGTAGATGCTTTGCAGATGCTCAGTCTGTCTTTAACTAACATTTAACTAATTATCTACTAAATGTAACTGAACTTGAAGTTGTGTGTTAAGTGTTCTATGAGATCTAACCATAACCATAAACCTGACCCTAACCCTAACCGCAAGGCAAAACCTACACCTACTCCTAGACCCAACGCTAACCTTAATGTTATTAATAATCAACCAATATCACCAGAAAGTTTGGTAAATCATCTATAGGGGACCATCCAAATAAAGTGTGACCGACATCATCAACTGGTATGTCCTTCAGAGAACAACGACACAGTTTGAAAAGAAGGATATATTCTTGTTGTCCAAAAATTCAGTTTATAATGTGTGGGTATTTTTTAATGTGTAATTTTTAAAACATTGGAATATGTTGTCTGTTCAGGTTCAAAGATGGACTTCATTCCTTTAGCCTTCTGGATGCAATACAGTCACATCAAAGCAGCTTCAAGCCAGTATTTACAAAGAGTGACCAGGAGCCGACAGCTGAGACTGTTGAACAGCTGTTCAAAGAGGAACATTCTCAGCCTGGGAGCAACAGATATGAAAATGAAGCTATAATCCACTGGAAAGATGATCTCTTAGATGCTGAGAACATGTGATAACGGCCGAGCAGTTAAACTCTCATTAAAACTCTGTACCAGTGTTCGGTGTGAGACACTGAGCTAACTATGCTAACTATGCTAACTAATAACGGCCGAGAGGTTAAACTCTCATTAAAACTCTGTACCGGTGTTCGGTGTGAGACACTGAGCTAACTATGCTAACTATGCTAACTAATAACGGCCGAGAGGTTAAACTCTCATTAAAACTCTGTACCGGTGTTCGGTGTGAGACACTGAGCTAACTATGCTAACTAATAAGTTTTCTTATTATTTCTTATTATTCTTATGATATTCTTATATAGTATTCTTAAATAGTATTCTTATGATAAAGTATAGTGCAATTTCATAAAAAAATTTT